TTCATTGTCTAGTGCCTGGGTTGATGGTGTCAGTGCTACACTGGCTCAGGGGTGGAGCCAGGATGTGATGTAATGGCAGGAAGAAGGTGTATCTCACTCTCTTTTGCCTGTTTCTTCCTTGCTGTTTGCAGCTGCATGAACTGCAGCCCCGCCATGCCACCCTGCCTTGGAGCCAAGTGAGTGTGGACTGAAACCTCTAAAAACTGTAAGGAATAAACCTTTCCTTTCCAATTTTTGGTACCATGTATTTTGTCTCAGAGACCAGTAAAAAGTAACTAAGGCAAGGTGGCTTCAGATTAGATAGGTTCTCTTGAATTACCAGCACCCACTCAGGAAAACTCCAAACACATAATTTAGGCCAAGGAGGAGGCACTCAAAACACTCTTATCCAGGAATCAATATATGGAAACTGATCTACGTTCTGATAAATACATTCTGTTCACTCTCTGGAGTTCGAGTGCTCCCTCTGACAGCCAGTCAACATTAAGGGTGAGTCATTCCAATTCAAAAATGTCCAGAATTTCCCTTTTCTCATCTTAACTCCAAGATCTCTGCAACATTCAAATTTATCAAAATTGCTAATCATGCATTCCAGCACAGTGGGCTTACGGCCAGTTGATCCCATTGTGATAACAGTTTAACAAACCTGCAAATCTCACAATCTATCTTGGCTGGTCACTTCCTGTCCCCTTCTTTTCTTTAGTTAGCCAACTGTGTTGGAAACAGAAGCAAAAATCAAGGCTGACAGGCTTGAAAAAAATGGTAATGGTCACCTTTGCTGGCGGTGGCCTGGAAAAGCATGTGTTTGACACCAAGACAAAACATACACAAAGGATAAGATATTCCCAGAAGAAACACAGTTCCCTTCAACCTCAAATCAGGAGCAAACACAGAGTAAGCCCTCAGAAAAAGAGGCAGATACTTCATGTGAGGCTCTAATGTTCAACAAACAACCACCCACCGCAACAAATTACTAAGTCAGCAACATGCTAATTGCCTAATTAGGAAACCAAATTAAAAGCACTTACCTCGGTCAGGGTAAGTACTCAGTTGTTTCTGTCTCCTGGCTGCAGCTGTCTCTGCCATCAGCTGCTCCAGGGTGGCCAATTGAAATAACCCCGGTCACCCTGATGAGCAGGTTTCAGCTGCTTGTCAAGGAGACACTGGACCCCTTCAATAAAAGTAAACCTGTCTGTGGGTCACCGTATGTAAAGATGTGTTTGAAAATATACACGGGACCCAGAGATTTGAGAAATATGTGAGATTTATTTTAACAGCTGCAATGGTCAGTGAGATCTCAGTTCACTGGATCGGCTAGCTGGCCTCAATTGTGTTGTCTTTTCTCCTATATATCCTGCATGAGTTCAAAAGGTTAGGGGTTCATCATGAATACTAGCTTTTTGCAGCATTATCTTTGTTTTGGAATGTTCAAAGACTTTCTCATACATCTGGCTAATTACCACACAGAATGTGGGCACCAGGCAGTTTTGTTGCCTTTGGATAAATCCATTTGTTTCCTCATTTTGGAGATTTTATTGCCAAATTAATGGAGAAAAGCAAACCTTTTCATGATTTGGCCAAAGTTCACTTCCTGTCTGATGGCCAACTGCTAGCTAAGCATCTAAACTATAATCTATCAGTCATAAAATAAGTGAAGTTTTCAAAACTAAGGCTTGGAGGTTTCAAGGATAAAAAGGCAAAAGGATAAAAGTGGATAGTGGGGGTTACAAATGCCCTCACAATTGTTAATCATGAGCATAGAACCTCATTCATGGATTTACACTAATGCTCACACTGGGCAATTTTGAATGAATGTTTTTGAGGTTATTTTGCCTATTTTGTATTTCTCTTTTGAGCCTTTGAAAATCAGGAGGTTTGGAGTACATAAAAACTACATTTTCTCACTTGCAATTAGTACAAATTTTCTTTCAGTTCAATTTCCCTTTATTATGTTTTTGTTTTCATAGGTGATCCTAAGACAAAAATGGGGAGAAACATCAAGTTCACCATGGTCTCTTGATCATCAGTGTAAAGATATGAAAAACAAGCCCATAGTTTTATCTGTAATTGCAATTTAATTTTGTAGAAAAGCATTATCACTTCACAAACTGCCTCCAATTACTTTTCTTGCTGCTTCTTAATATATATTTTTTCTTTTTTGTATGCATTCTGTTGTAAGTTTTCCATTCGTCATGGTGATTCATGCATACATAGCACAAACTAAGATTTTTAAATTCTATAAGACTCAACACCCTTCCCATTACCTAATGTCATTCCTCTTTTTCTTTTGCAAAGTTCCCATTTCTCTGTTTCCTATTCTCAGCCTTTAGATCACTCGTGGAACAACTTATTCTTTGCATTTTTCATATAAGAGATACTATGTGGTAATTACAATGTATGTTTGATGTATTTCACTTCCTATTAGGATCACAGAGTCCATCTAGTTTTCTGAACAGGACTCAAAATTTCCCTTTTTAAAAGAATATTCTCTCATTGGGTATAAAAACTACAATTTCTTCATCCATACCTCTGTGATTAAACACTAGACTACTTGCAGATTCAGCTAGTCTAAGTGATACAAGAGAAAAGAATAAATAAAGACAATAAATAAAGAAGAGAATAAATAAAGAAATGATCGTAGACATATATTTTGCTTTGAGGAAAGGTATCTAATTTGTCTTTCCCAGAAATGATTAAATATAATCCTCCTGAAAATGAGCCACCCAAGTGAAAAAGTGTAGTTTGTACTCTCCCTACTGGAAGGGCATGAAACAATCAGAGAAGACAATTTAAAAATAAAATTTAGATGTTGCTCTAATGATGAATGCATGAGAACTTGGAATGGTTTCTTGAACATTTGAAGGTGGATGTATACACCTAAACTTTCCCTATAATGGTCCCTTGTGTCACATTTAAAAAAAAATGTTTATTTATTTTTAATATATAACAGATTTCTACTTTGCTGAAAGGAGGATACATCCAAGGTATTTCTAGAAAAATTGATGCAACTTGAGACTGTGCTCTTATAAATTGGATTCCATTTGTAAAGTCAGTTTTGTCTCCCTGATGTGAGGAACAGAAAGACCATGTGAGAAGCAAAAGGAACAGTAGATGGTATGAAATGTTAAAAACCATGTTCACAAGGAAAGTGGAGAGCACAGGAGAAAGGAAAAAAAAGAGGGAAAACAGTTAATAAAAGGATAAAATGCAACCAAATCTTTGTAAATAGGGAGGCCAAGACAAGTTACAGGAGGAGGGAGGATTGGAAAAAGAGGTGAAATCAAAATCCATCATCCACAGGTACAAATACCTTAAAATGAGCATGATCGTTCTGTATAGCTAACAAGTACCAATGAACTAAATTTTAAAAAAATATTTATTTTAAATTTCAATTTTTTATTCTTCCTAGATCCAGTGATTTTTGTAATAAAAATTAACTTGCATGCATATCTGTATTTTCTGATAGTTCTTATTAATAATCTCCAACTGTATTGAGATTTGTTCTTCACTCACACTCACTAAAGATGTTTTGTTTATTTCATGAAGATGTAGTTAAAGCCCTTTATAGAACCCATCATGGAATCTGTCTCATGCAGTGAGTAGAAAAATGTATATTTCTCAATTGTTGGAGGGAATCCTCCATGCACGAGTGATTAGTTATTTTCTGAAATTTCATGTTTCCGTCACATGTTTCTTTGATTTCTTTCTTAATTTTTCTCTTGAGTAAAAGCTAAGGATGGAGTGTTATTGTTCATAACAATATTATTGAATTCACTTCTTTCAGGTTTATGCATTATGTATATGTGGTGATTCTTTGATTAAATAAGTGACTGTAAATATGTTGTTATCTTGATGTGTATATATAACTCCCCCAGGTGCGCTGGGCACAATGGAATCTCCTGTTACATCTCCTGTTACTCATCGTGCTTTGTGGTACATTCCATCTGATGTCAACATCCCCTCCTGGAAGAGGGATATTCATTTCCTCTGTTTACTATCAATTCAGTACCCTCACTGTCTACTTAAAGAAGAAGTGAGGGTCAACGAAAAATGCACATGTGATTGTTGTTTTGAGCTCATTCGCTCAATGCCCTTTAACAAGACAATCTACTTGATTAATATTCATAGCAAGTATTGAGGAGTAAGGTTTTCCTTCAAGTATGAGGTAGTCTGTTGGGAGCCATTGAAGTTGGAGATTGATCCCATGCATGGGGTTAAAGCAAGGACAGCCTAGAAAACACAGAGAGACCAAAACAAGTTAGGTAAACAAGTTGTTCCAGCACCAAGAGGCAGGGGGCCCAGGACTGCCAAGCAATGGGTTGCTAGGCAGCGGAGCTGAAACTGACATCATCAGCTGAAACTGACACATACTTGGCTAAGTTTTATACTTGCTCAAAAAAATCATTTTCGTTGTCACAGACAAATCACTGTCGATTCTTATTGTCTTAGTGTTGTTCTTGTTGTGAGTTTGCTGACCTGATTCAGTTATGTTTTGCAAAAGTTTGCAGTGACCCAAAAGTTTTCCCCTGTGAGCTTTGGAACCAGTGTTAAATAATGCTGGCCACACACTGTCCTCTTGTGACTTCCCTGAGCTGGAGGACCTGCCTTGAGTCCCTCCCATGACATTTTCAGAACTGCAAGGCCATCACCTATGTTGAGGCACAAGACACAACACTTGCAGAAGCTCACAAATGGGAAATCCTTCCTGGTACAGTTCCCATTTTTCCCTCTAAGTGCGACATGCCTGAGAATTTTGCAATTAATCTCAACAACAAGCATCTTATGTTCAGTCAAAGATTGAGGTATTTCTGATAGTTGCATCGAGGTAGATATTTCTATTCATAATAAAATGACAACTTTTTTATACATGTGTGCATTTCAAATGACTTCAACCAATTTATTGAATTAACAAGGGTACACCAGGTTCGAGGGAGTTGTCGAAGAAATGAAAAAAGACGGGAAAGAGGTTTATGAGTTTACGGAAAAGTGAAAAATACAATTCAACAGAAGGGATCTTCATATCCACGATCAAGAAATATGGAGAAGTTGATGTTGTCAACGCTCCTGACATTGTTATCCCCTGTGGAAATGTAAAAGAAAAAACAAGTGTAGCTTAAACATAGACGTAGAGCTCATGAAAGTGTAGATCAAGGTAAGATCTATTTGATGGGGAGCTGAACGGAGAGCACCTCATACCCAATAGACTACGCAGGACTCCTTCTGAGTAGGATCTGGAGGATGCCACAGGGAACATCGGAGCTACACTAAAGAGCTTACAAGGGCTGTGTAGGTGTTCACGGCTCCCTGACAGCGCATGTAACTTTATGTCTCAAACCTAGATTTGCATCTGGATTTACCAAGGAGGTTGCTATGACAAATGAAATCCTTAATCTGGAATTCACCAGTGTAAAAGAGATTTCAATGTGCACAAATTATTGTCTTTGACAGAACGCATTGTCTCTCTGTGTAGAAGAAAAAAATCCTATTTTTTTCCCTGGATCTGTGTTCTTTTTCAAAGTGTTCACATATGCAGGAAGCACAGTCAGAATTTTAAAGAGAGACCTCTTGGCTATTTTCTAACACAAAAATTGCAAGAAAAAAAAATTCCAAGCAGATTAAATTATATTTTGACATAATATCATGTCTGTACTCACCCAAACAGTTGCATCATTGTGGACAATTATCTGAGAGGGAAATTTGTAGAGGAAAAGAGATAAGAGACAGGAATTCAGTAGATCTAAGAATTATCAGCAATGCTTTTGATAAAGTATGACTTGGAATAGCGATGTGCACTCAGAGATTGAGCTGAGAATGTTTTCTTTCCAAGCGTGTTTGGATACTGCGGGAGGTGTGAGGGTGACTGTTACCTGTTCCAGCAATGTAGCGTATGTTTTCCTTGGGAATACCCCTTTCTTCATTCGCCTCTTCAAGCTTGTGCACTTCTGGGCGTGTCAGCACATCTCCTTTTCCTGTTGCAGGAAACATAAAGCAGAACATCTGTGCTCAGGATGTCACCTGAACTCTAAAGCAGCCCCTGGGCCGCCCTGTGCGGGTGTGACCTGGGAAATCCCACCACCCTCCCCCTCCAGCAGGAAATGTTCAGTGACCCGGCAGGGAGAACAGACCCTGAATATTATTTCTTCATTTCCCAGTTTCTAAGATCGCTGAGGACACCTGAGTTCCTACATGCTGAGAATCTCAGTCCCCTAAATCACAACCATTTCTAGATGCACAGAGGGGAGATGGTTGTGTGTAACAGATGTGAATCTCTGTATGCTGAAGTTCCTCTTTCTATCCTCCATTTCCCATCCAATATCTGGCTTTCTACAACTCTAAACAAATGAGTTGCAAATATGCTTTTTTTTTGGTACCAGGGATCGAACTCGCGACTCTGCTTGCAAGGTAGGCGCTTATGCCACTGAGCTAACATCCCACCCCGCAGGTATAATTTTAACTGCTCTCTTGTCTACTAATCCCGAGCATCTTAGTACTAAGTCAGAGGAAAACAAGTAACAAAAATTCCCTGTCATCCACCTGAAACACGGTGCACGACCAGGGCAGGTCTGATGCTTCTAACACTTGTCTGTGAAGCCATCAGTGTCAGAAGGATTCAAATGTGGAGAACATTTAGTTGGGGGGGGGTGCTGAATCTGATATGCTGTTAGTGTTAGAGCAGAAGCTTGACGTTCTTTTAGAAGAGGAAAATTTGGGTGTACTAAAGGTTTCAACGTACACATGAACAGTCACGTGTATGAGAAACTACTTATGCTGGCTCGGAATATAAATCTTGATTCACTGAGTGACAGAGCTCAGGTATGCCAGTATATGATCCTTACTAATCAGCTTGCCAGTCAAGGTACAAAGCCTATTGCTTCTCCAGAACGGACATAAGTTTTCTGCTAGTCTTTAGAAGCTAGGGTGTCAGAGAATTTCCACAGCTTTTCTTCCAAAGAAAACTACTCAGCGCATGTAGTTAAATAGTATAAAAGCAAACAGAAGACCCTTTACAGTTAAGGAGGTTCATGACGGTACGTGCATGGTTCTCACCACAGAGAAAATGCTCACCAGCAACTAAAATTCCAGGTGTTATTAACCCATTATCATCCTTGTTGATCCAATAGAATGATAAGATATCGTCTTTGTTGCCAAGGATCCGGATATAGTTTGTACCCTCGACTGGAATTGAAAGAGATGTTTTAAAATTCAACAGACTTATTTTTCCCCGTTTGTTAAATATGCATTGCTTACAGCTTCCTGATATTATTTCTTCCTTCAGTGAAAGTTTATTTTGCAAAGCTTCTACAGTATATTAGGGTTTCTTCAGTGTCACAAGTGCAGACGTCGGACACATTTTACACAAGACCTTCTTAGCACGGTGAAGATTTCCTGCTCTCCAATCTCTGAAATATCAGTGGATCACAAATTCCCTACAGCAGAGTTCTTTCTCCATGTCACTGGGCAGATACTAGATGCAGGGACCCTCGTCTTCCCAAACAGATCAGCAAGGTACGTGATCAAAGTGTCAGGGCATTACCTCTCAGTTTCACCATCAGCCAGTGCTGTATTGTAATTGTACAAATTTATTATATAGTGTCTTATAATGAACACATTTCACATATGCTTAAAACACAGCTCTCTGTAGTAGCAGGTTTTAAAACGTCTGATATAAGTGACAAAGTTTGAAATGACTTAATGACAGTGTTGACATGTCATATTGTCAACATGTCTATTACAACATTTCTATACATAAAAATTTAGCAAACTGCAATCAACATTGCCTTTCATGAACAAAGTATACTGCAACTTATAATAGAATACCACAAGTGTATCAATATTATTTTACTATTATTATACTTGTAAATCTGTGTTTTCTTTATTTTGGATTGAGAGTCCTCCTATATAGTTCGATATGCCCTTTGAATTTGTAGGTAGCCCATGGTGGGGTGGACCCCCTAACAATCCCCTCCTCAACTTCAAAAATACTCGGATTTCCCCGCTTATCTTCTCTCATGTCCTGTGCTGTGCCTCCCTCCTGGGAGACAAGAAAACACAAGATGAACACTGTGCAAATCGTAGGCTGAAGAAACCATTTTTCTTTATATTTGAGTGCCCGATAGTTTGTCTCGGCCACAAAAAGAGCTAGCTAAGACACCGACGATGCGTAAATCTCCCGCGGTTTTCCGAGACTTACCGTGGTGATTCTCAGGCTATATTTTACCAGAACCCCAAAACCACAATACTTGAGCCCAGATGAGGTGCACAGTGGAAGCTGCACACACAGCTCTGCTTTTGAATCAGGCTCTGCTTTTGAACACTGTCAAGTACTCACAGTCTACAGTGTAAATACCATCTTCTTCTAATGATGCAAACGCTGTGTGCTCCTTGCAGTGGCCGTTCGTCCTGAAAAACACAAAAGTACAAACCACACAGTCTCCCTCCTCTCTCATTCCTTCCCGACCCCTGAGGATCTTCAGGAGTTGGAATGCTGAAGATCTCAAAGGCTTTCACAATTACATTCCTTTGACCTCTTGGGTGTATTAAACCATCAAGATCGTCACACGTGGTTGTTCAACAAATTTGGTTAGGCTCTCTCAGTTGGGGTGTCTCTTGGTGTCCTCCTGGGCTGTCTGTGCTCTGCAGTTTGCTGGCAGCACCTGTGTCCTGTACCCCCTTTATTCCCTCAGCTCCCACCTCACTGGGAAGGTGGGAATCACCTCCATGTCTCACGTCACAGTCACAGCATCCCACTCCCAACTGGGTTAATAGCTGAATTATGTTGGCACTTTGAATATAACACGCTGCTCTTTACGAGTCACTTCCTAGTGTTTCTTTATGTAAAGCTTGCTTTATGGTATTTATGCTGCAGTCCTTACTGGGGTGAGAAACTCTTCAAAATCTTCTAATTCTTGGGATAATATTTCAATGTGGACACCGTGAGATCTATAGAAGATGGCAGAGACGTAGACAGAGGTGGGCCCTGAGCAATGCTCACAGAGATAAACATAACACATCTACAGTCACACATTGTGTTCACATCTGAGGACTCCAGCTCCATCTTGCTCCAATTTTAGGCCAAGTGTGTCATTGTTAGTTTCGTTATGTTCTAAACACGAGACTTCTATTTGTTAGGGGGACACTGTGGATTGTAGGTTTGGGCATGTTTTTCTTACTTGACATAAACTCTCAAAGCGATCTTACTGCAGTCCTCCAGGCACTGCATGTGACGGAAAAGCATTCTCAGGGGCCCGTTGTCTTCAACCTTCTCCAGGTTGCCAGCCGACACAGCAATCGTGCGCCAGTTTCCGTTGATCTACAAAAGAAAGGTCTCATTGGAAACTTTAGAGCATTTCCTGCTGCTTGCCTCGCTAAAGTCACAATGAACCGTGGCATCTTCTTCTGGTCCACAGAAAATAATTAATTTTATCTTAATCTTATCTTGTGGACTATTTTGAAGTTTTGATCACTGTAGGATGGCAGTTCAAATGCAAATAGCAATGACTTTACATTCTGACCTAACAAAAATCTACGTCATCGTACAATGGAAAATTTAGGCCTTCGTTTCGCTGTTAATGTGTTTGCAAAACAAGATGAATTTGGTGGAATAAAATATCAAGAAAGAGACGATAAATAGTTCTTTCAGGATTTCAGACCCGCTGAAAACCATGCTCTAAAATCTCAGTTTGAATACTGAGAGAAAAAGACAAATACAAATACAAACACAAACACAAATGCACACACACACACACACATTCAAAAGAGGTACTCACTAGGGACAAGCTGAGCTATATTACCGTTGCTGGATCAGTTGGGTCAGCACAAGCGAATCCTACAGCAAGCGCGAGGAGGAGAATCTGCACCATGCTGGAGCGGCCTTTCCTCTGGCGGAGGTGCAGGGTAGGTGAGCTGCTGAAGGGAATCTGAGCCGATGCCTCTGTGACAGCCCTGCTCTGGTCCCTCTTTGACCTTAAGCTCTACGATTTCCTGGATCGGAGAGCTAGGGTTTTTTTCTGACTTTGGGTTATATTCTACGTGAGATGAACATCAAGAGAAGATTAATATTGACTGAATAGCTGACATTTCTGTACATGAAGAAAACAGAATACATAAGTGGTATTTTAAGGATATTCATATTATCTTTCTCACCTCTCAAAAACGGAATTGGATGAAGAAGCAGAAATTACAGGTCAAGGACTCCTATATGGCCTCTTGAGTTTTCATGGAGTAGGGCTATACGTACATTCTAATAACAAAGACGTCACTGTTGGCAGGGTTCTGAGTGGTAAGCAGCCTGGAACTTAGCAGCAACCAGAATTCTCTCCATTATTAGGGATACACTGTACGCTGCTTGTCGTGCTAGAGTCCAGTAATGACAGAGATATCTAGGGAATGAGGTAAAAATATCACAGGTTCAAGTCTACCCTGGGCACCTTTGAACCAGAGGTAGACAAAATGTTTTTAAAAATGCGTGCAAAATGGGTGATGTTATATTTCAGTGCTGAAGACTTGAGTTGAGTTTCCTATAGTAGAATATAAATATGATAAGGAAATAAAATGAAAGAAAACTAAAAAACATCCGCTCCTTTCCTGCAGTGGAGGGTAAATCTCTCTCTACTGGAGGTTAGAGTCAATGTTTTATGAACCATCCTCAACAGACATTCAAGTCCGACTAAAGATATCAAGGACAGAAATTCTCCAAAACAAATCAGAGCACTTGAAGCAATGCCATTGTTCCTCAACAAATGATTTCAAATTTGTCATAGAACAAGCTGGAAAACGATCAGAAGTTAAAAGATCTCTGTTGGTGTGGTAATTCACACATTGGAAGCAAGCAATGGATCATCCTCCAGTGATTCAAATGATGTGGCCACAAAGTAAGTTCAAAGTTCAAATTTTATACAAACGTTAAACCGAAAGACACAATGCTATGAATCGCCTTCAGAATTGTTCCCCTCAGTTCAGAGACATTTAGAGTATAGTTTCTTACACTTTCTGAAGAATTTGTGGAGTTCCTATTTCCTCAGTGTCTAGGAACTCTCATCAAAATGTAGTGGGTGCTGATGGTCAGTTCCAGGACACTTGTGAATGTAGGGGGCTGTGTCCTTGTTCACCTTTGTCCCCGAACTTGGCCGCCTGCACCATCTGGATCTTCTGTGAAGTCCAAATGACTTCACAGAGAATGTTGAGAAGTCAACATTCATCATTCAGGTACTCGAGGAGATCACAGCCATTCAAATGACGAAACAGCTATCAAGAGTGGGGTGAGCTGGCCAGAAGTGTTGGGAGTGTTTGTGTGTGTCGGTGTGTGTGTGTGTGTGTCCATGTGCACACACACTCTATCGTAACACCTATTTTAATACCTAACCTTAGTTACAACAGAAAATGATAAATTTCCATCACTGCATTATCTAGTTTCACAATATTCAGGGTTATATGCAGAATTACAGTGATCATTGCTTGAACAGAACTGTAAATACTCCTTATGGTATCATTTGGTTACAGACAGAGTGTACAAGGAGATGATTTTAAAAACCAGAAGCAGCAATTACCATCAAGAGAAATCTCCATCTGGTTCTGATTTCATCAAATCTTCTAAGATTATTACAAATATGTGAAGAAGAGATGCGTTGGCAGTCTTGAGAGTAATTTTGAAAATTTAAGAAACAAGAATATGTTCTGTTTTGGAACGCTGACAGATTTCTACATAGACTGATCTGTGGATTGTATTGATAACACTAATATATTACAACATGTTATATAATAATATCTTGGCTGGAAATATCTGTATATATGACACTTGTCTCAGGAGTCGAGTGTTAGACTTACAATCCTAATCCGCCATTACTCAGACACGTTTCTTGGGTAGATTCTCCACCTGAGATTTATCAGGAGCCAGACATGACTGGTCCTAAGTTAAGTGTTATTAGACGGCCACTTGTTTCTGCATGACTTCCTAGGTTTATAACAGATCTGTTTACCCCTGGGATTATATAAAGAGACAAACACAAGGAGCTATCTATGAAAATGTTACCATGGATATCTCTGCTCTCCAAAAGGAGCTTTTGTCAACAAACTCCAAAGTTCGCTGGACAAATTCAAGATTGGGTCACATTTTCTGATGCCTGAGACTAATTCAATCCATTCAACTATCTGAAGGCATGCTTTTGACTTTACATTGGTGTACATGGAGTAATCTGTGTGTTTCTTCACATTCTATTCAAAGTCTATCAAGTAGGAACCAAACTGGGCTGACTCCTAGACATTATGCAACCAAAAGTTACCCTTATCCAGCTTTTATTGCGAGCACAAAAAGGAAGAATTGTTGGAGACCGTTACTATGAATCGGCTCTGAGCAGAATTTAAAATAAACTAATTGGCTTTCTGTGTTTATCTGTGAGTCTGGCCTAGGCCCAGGCCCCTTGCCTAGTGACGGGAGCTGATTCACAGTAAGTGAACCTCTGTGAATCTCTGGTCCTGGCTGAGGCCTGTAGTGGCCTGGGAGGCCAGAGATACCTCGAAGGGCAGGATAAGGCCACAGCTGTGGACACTCTGGCTCCAGCACTAATTAGGTAAATAGAGGCAGCAGCTGCAGGCATCTCCCTCACTCCCACCATAAATGTCACCATGGAGATAAGACGTTTCTCCTAAATTGGCATAAGTCACTCCTTTGGAGACGTCTTTGAAGTGGTTCCCAAGGTCCTGCCCAGTTCCGCTGTTTTCCTCAGGATCCTCGCTGTTGTTTGGAGATGTAATACATGTAAACAGTGCAGAGAAGCTCTTTGTCTGAGCCCTCAACATAAGCGCAGTGTGAAGTTCTCTGTAAGAAGGGTTTGACCCTCCTGGAGCCTTAAATCCTTCCACCTTTCTCATTAATTTAAGCCCTCGCCATGCACTCATTTGAGAGATTGGGGATCCTGGTCAGAGCCGTGACACAGGACTCCATTTTTAGGTCTAGAAAGTAATTTAATACGGGCTCACTCTTAGGGAAACACAGCTTTTACTCTATGACTCCCCCAGATGTCAGCTCATGGTGAAAAGCAAGTATCTTGCACTTAGCACTTTGATTGTTTATTGCTCTCTCATCCACCCTAAGGTCATTACTGAGCTCATTTTAAGCTTCAGTTATTCCTAATCTCATCAAGTTATGAAAACCCTCTAACACAACCCAACTAAGACTAACGGGATGCATTGCAAAATCTTGAAAGACCTATTCAGGTGACAAACAATATGTCAACATATGTGCGGTCTAGCTGTCAGTACTGTAATAGTTCAGATTCTCTCCAGGAACTCAGATATACTGAGCTCCTACAGAACAGAGGGGCAGCTCCAGAAGACGCGGATACTGCTGCTTGTTATTTGCCTAGTTTTTGCTGACCTGGAATCTCCTTCTCAAATGCTGCTCTCAGAGGAATCAAGTTGATATCATGTGATCGTGTGTGTGCATGTGTGTCTGTGTCTGTGTGTGTGCACTTTTCTTAGTGTTGTTAATCTAGTTGTAGGGAGAACCTGAGACACCATATCTGCACCTTTCGTAAGCTGTGCAACTATCAAGTCTTTACAGTTTTTACCTTATTTGATTGCCAATATTAAAAAAAAAAACAAAAAACTTTTGAACCAAGCGCTGCATTGGGATTTCCATTGTACTGATAGCATTCCAGAAAACTATTAGTTTTCTTGTTTTATAGGGGAGCCCGTGTCATTGTTGAACTTCACATGATTCTACGCCTTGGGAACAGAATACTGTTCAGTGCACTGTAGTTTGACTTTTTTTCTCTTTCCTTCTGTGAAAAAGGAGACACAGGGCTTATCACCGATCGGTTTGGAAACTGGTGATGGTGCCCAGGTCCTGTGTCACAGGAAGTTTACTTTGTGAAGACAGAGCATCACGAGTCATTGCCGTGGTAACTGAAATATGGAGGGAGGTTTAAGGAGGATGGTTTCTTCCCAGTTCACGTGCATGAGAAACACAGTGGGATGTCATCAGGAAGTTCTTCAGCAAGGAAGTGACATTTGTTACGAGATAAAAGCAACACAACTCTTTATGGCATACATGCTCTTGGTTCAAATGCAAACTGAAACATTTTAGTTTTGTGAGAGAAACTGAGCATCTCGTGTTTAGCATGTTCTCAGGTGGGGCGGTCTCCATGTCCGGAGCTCGCTGGAATCTCCTGAGGTGAGCTTTACGGGGCTGAGGTGATCCTGATGAATCCTGTCATTACTTGTAGGGATATTAGCACACAAGAAAATAAATGGGTCTCGGAAGCCTTGAAATTGCGTCACGGTCTATCATGTCAAGAAGATCTGAATTCAAAAAATAAAGTAAGTGCTTTTAAAGTAGGGAGAGGGTATGGTGTTTCCACATGTGAGTCTGATTATGTCACCTCTGAGTATAGTCTCTAGGTGCATCTATTTCTCAGTAAGTGTCTCAAGTTTATCCTCCTTATGGCTCAGAAGTTCTGCACTCTATAAAAGAATATGTCTCTTTAGTTTGTCGAGTAAATAAGTTTCACAATGTACAACAGATACTCCAAATCAAAAGAAACTGGTTCAAAACAAAAAGGAACTCGTATAGGTGAGGAGAAAAATAGGAAAAAACAAAAATGAAAAAAAGGGGCTGGGGATTTAGCTCAGCGGCATAAGCACCTGCTTTGTAAGCAGGCAGTTGTGAGTTCAATCCCTGGTACCGATTAAAAAAAAAAAAAGGCCAAAAAAATAAATGAAAAAAAAAAACAAATATATATATGATAATTAAGATCATTATAGCACTGTTTCTTGGAATTTTTAAGATAAATTTTGACAGTGAAATGCCATGTCCTTAACTCTAGCTATTTGAAAGATAACAATAGGCAATATAGTAAACAAT